TGGTTGTTATCTCAAATAAAAGGGAAATGTTTTAAGATACCATATATTATGGAAGCGAAAAATATGTAATTATTGTTCCATCATTATATATAATAAAATAAAAGATTAATTTGAAATAATATATATATTACATCTTTGTAATTTATATATTCTTAGGCTGCTTTCAGAAATGTTACCCGAGTGCCTCGTTTTGTTCTTGTTGTTTACTTAATGTTAAACAAGGATAAAATAATACACGGGGGCAACCACGGATAATATTTTCGAATTCAGCCTTAATATAATGTTTAATATAAATTAAATAAAAATCTTTGTAAGCTTCATATAAGATATATCTTAATTGGCATGCAGTACATCGTATTGGTTGTGTCAAAATAATATACGATATTCTTTACTTCTAATCTTAAAATGTTTTGACATTCTTCAACTGCAAACCTTTGCTTGTACTCTAGGCATTCTTAGGACATTTCTTGGAGAACTGTATTGTGTAATGGAAGGAATTTGAATATGATAAAGAAACTTTTCTTCTCAGTTTAGTTTATTCTGCCTCTATGCAAAAGATTTATCATTATTTTCCAAACATCCTGTATATATACATACACAAATATATGTATAATAATTAATATTAGAACTTATATACGTATATACGTAAAATATACGCGTATGAATATAATGCATGATTTATGAATATGTGTATAAATATATTCTTTTATATCATACACGGACAGGATTCGCAGGAAGTATACGAGATTGCAACTGCACATGACGTCATGCAACTGCGTAAATGGTCCTGTCAGTTTTACACGGATAGCGATAAAGTTAGTATTTAACGAAATAAAAATTAAAGAAATACTTCATTTTTTATAAGAAATTGAACATAAACATTTTTTATTTTTTAATTATACTCTTTTATATACAAATTACTGTTTTATGTACAAATTAAAACTAGGAAATTTTAATAGATTTAACTAATTTTCCAGAGTCGACGATGAGTTTGTTGATCCACTCAATTATAAATCTCGCTCTTTGTCAAAAACGTCAAACAGTTTATAATTTCTTTATACTATATTTTAAATTATTAAAGTATACTTATTTATAGTATTAATTCTTTTTTTAACAAGTTATTTTAGATCTTTGAAATTAATTAGTGCTTTTAATAAACATAAATTAATTAAATAGGTTTTATATACCGTCAGTAATTGTATTATAGAATCAAGTTTCGGAGAGTTAATTGCATGACCTGTCATTTTTGTTGAATAAGTTGCTTAGAAAAATATTTCATACAGTGAATGGATTACCAAAACCTTTAAATTTTTATACGAAATATATGGAAAGTATTGTTTTGATAAAATATCTAAAAATTCTGCTAGATATAGATTTGAAAATAGTTTTATTAAATTATTAAAATAATTATATAAGACGTTTGGTGATCAAGTAATATATTGCAATTATTTTAACCGTTCTAACAAATTATCTTAAGAATGCCACATAATTATTTTGATCGTCTAATTAAAATTATTTTCAGATCTATATCTAACTAAATTTTTAGATATTTCAATAAAATCATTCTTTCTGTGTTTGTTATATTCATCTTATGTCATTACACACAATTGAGTGCTTTTTATTTGATGACGCAAACATTGTTCTGCCTTTATTACTCATGGAAGAGTCTTGACTCGTGAAATGTCAAGAAAGATAGAAAAGATAGACGACGTTTGTGTCGACTTGTGTCAGTAAATGGAATGCGCCTCGTGTGTGCGTGCGTGTGTGCGTGTGCGTTTGCGCACACATACACTACTACTCATGGAAGTTGGGACATTCGCTTCATTAATTATGTCAAATGATCATGTAAAAAATTAAGACATTACAAAACAGCAATTATATTATATTTTTTAATATATTTTAGATTACTTGTAAACATACTAACATTTGCAAAAGTTTTATAAATTATTTTTTATTTTATATATCAAAATGTATTACCTCTTTATTTCATAGAAAACATTAATAGTATAATCGGTAAATTAAAAAAATTCGCTTTTGATATATAGAATTAAAAATAATTTATAAACGTTTTGCTAGTCTATCCCCATATATAGGGATAGGCTGACAATATGCACCAGCATAAATCCATATTTGTGTTCTCTGAGCGAATTTTTGAAATTTGTCGATTATACTACCAATGTTTTACGAAGTAAAGACAGTACAGTTTTGACATACAAAATTAAAACTAATTTATAAAACTTTTGCAATTGTTAGTATGTGTACAAGTGATCTAAAATATATTAAAAAAATAATACAATTGCTATTTTATAAAGTCTTAATTTTTTACATGATTATTCGATAAAATTTATGTGGATGTTTGAACGGTAGTGTACATATGTATATCCTGGAAAAAATATTATATACATGGATACATATTTTATATATAACTATACGTAATTGTATATAAAATATGTCAATTTTATATATAATTACATATAAAACATTTTTCCCTCTGGATAGAAGAGTGTTACTAATGTAATAATAACAACATGTTAATAATATTAATTATATGCATTTTAAATATTTAAGCATTTAAGCAGTGTTATAAAAATTACAAAATAAAAAGCTAAATATAGCACACGTAAAACGCTTATCATACCTAAAAGAAGTACGTTCTTTATAATGAGTCAAGACATTGATTCTCAAGTTTCCAAGAAAAGTCAATGTACCATCGGGAGATTCCTCTGTTCTTCTTCCACAATAGTATTTCTTTTATTTCCATTGATAAAAATAAGCCTTTTTTACTCAATAAAATTTTTACATCCGCAACATACAAGTCGCAACATGCAAATCATGTAATTTTTCACACAGACAAAGCTGATTACCTGTTTGACGGGCATCAGAATATGAATTCTTTATATTATTATTTGCGTGATTGTAAAGGCGTACATTAACTTTCAACGAATCTTATCGTTGAACAAATGCGAGATGGACTGTAATCGTATATTCAAGCAATGCTTATCACAATATCTCGGACTGCTTATAAGTAGTCAAGCAGTGAGACTTATTTGGACAGACACTTCCCATTACTTTGTTACTCCCGATTCGTGCCAATACTTGAGATCCAAGATTGCAGACCATGTCTCCCGACAATTTGAACGAAATTAACGTCTTTGACGACGCAGCAGATAATATGGACGTTATTAAGACTATAATAGACAGAAGAAATCAGGAAGACGGTTTCTACATTGTGGATATTGGTGATATCATTAACAAACACCGCGAGTGGATCACCAAAATTCCGAGGGTTACCCCACATTACGGTATGTCAGCTTTAAAGACCCCCTCTCTATAAAGTCCACTCTGCAATTGATGCAATTTTAAGAATTAACCAATCACAGTTAAATATGAGGAGAACATTCGACTGTGATTGGTGAATTTTTACAACTACAACCATTTAAATACATAGTTGTAGTTAATATATAGATCGGGCAATTATAGAATGGGCTTAACGTCGTTTAAATTTATATTGAAAAAATTCAGATTTCTCACCTTCTTCTAAATTGATTTCAGCGGTTAAATGTAATCCGGATCCGAATGTAATCAAGATATTGGCAGCTTTAAATGCCGGCTTTGATTGCGCGTCCGAGGTAAATCATCTCACTTTTAGCCGCGATTATATTCTTCAATATTTTAAACATTAATGTCTTTTTTTTATATCTTACTTTTATCGATAAATTTATTTCTAAAATTCTGCAGTGTACACCTACTAAATGCAATTATCGATAAAAGTGAGATGTGAATATTGTGAATACAGATATAAAACTTTTACTTCTATATACATTACTGATTTAGTTATAAAATTTTTGCGTTAAAAACGCCTTAAAATTAAAATACAACTTGATTGTTACTTTTCGCATCAAATCTCTTTTTTTTTTTTTCAATTAATTTTCGTTAAATAAAATTCAAAAACTAATCATAAATAAATTCTTGTGATTTTTTTACATGACATCTTCCTTTACTTGTCAAATCGTGGAGCAGAATAAGTAAGTTTAATTTTAACACGTGTAATATACGTAATATGTCGAAATAGCAAGAAATCAGGCAAGTGATGCAGTACGGCGTGCAAGCCGACCGGATCATATTCGCGAATCCATGCAAATGCCCATCTCACATCAAGTACGCCAAGAAAATGAACGTCGAACAGATAACCGCCGACAGTGAATTGGAGCTTTTGAAGATAAAGGATCTTTATTCTGAGGCCAAGTGAGTGTGCGAAATCGCTGTACTTACTATTCACCGTGTAGCTACGATCGACATCCTGTTGCTTTTCTTTTATCCTCCCAATAGTAGTACAATAATCTCGTGATTTAATAGAATAGTAATACGCATACGATGCGACGCGAAAAACTCGGAATGCAATCTCGGATTGAAGTTTGGCTGCGAACCGGACGAGGATGCTGTGCGATTAATACAACTTACGGCGAACCTCGGTCTCACTTTGCACGGCTTTAGTTTTCACGTCGGTAGTCCGTGTGGGGAACTAAACGCGTACAGCAGAGGCATCGGAATATGCAAACGATTGATCGCGATCGCCAAATCGATGGGCTGCCTGGATGTACAGCTGATCGACATCGGTGGTGGTTTCTCCGGTGAAACGGATATCGACAAGGTATACACGCTTTGCTCGAGCGTCTTAATTTCTTTCTATTTTATAGACAAAATAATTTTGAAATTTATTTTTAAATCCCTTCAGCTCGCCAATATTGTCAACGATGCAATTCAAGATCTCGATCCCAGCATAAGAGTTATTAGCGAACCCGGAAGATACTATGTCGAATCGGCATTTACTGTAGCCTCGTTCTTACATTCCAAAAGAATCGTTCATAAAAATGGCAAATTTATGAGAATGTATTACGCAAATATCGGAATGTACAATTCGTTTCTGGATGAATTAATTTGCCCGAATGCTAAAGTCCTGCGAATACTTTTTGAAGTACGCTTTTTGAAGTATAATATATAATTATAAATATTGTGTGACTTATTGAATATTATCATCAAATATATCATGTATTTGTTTTGTTGATGTATAAAGTAATTCATTATTAATTTGTATAGCCGGCGAGCGATGAGAAATTTCTTTCGACTTTGTGGGGACCGACTTGCGATTCGTTTGATGTAATTGCTAAAGATGTATTATTGCCAGAACTTCATATCGGCGATTGGTTAGTTTGGGAAAACGTAGGTGCTTATAGTTTATGTCTGTCCACCACATTCAATGGATTTCCAATTCCAAAAGTCATACCGTTTATTAGGAAAACTCAATGGTCAGTACTAATTCATTAAATTCATTAAATTTCTTCCTTTCTCACACACGTATACAATCTTATTTAGTTTACATTTTTAATATAGAGATTACTTAAACAAGATGTTTAAAAGCTCCTGTAAATTATTCTAAAACACCCACACTGTTTAATCTAATTTTATTTAATAACTGAATAAAACATTAATTTTTTCAGGGAAAATTTAATGACGGAGATCAAACTAATGCAAAGATCTATGGAATTCATAGAATGGTCCAAGTCAGTGGAAAGGGAGCATTACATTGAAAACCGCTGACAAAAATAAATATAATAAATTAATAATTAAAATACAATTTAAATAGATATTTAAGTTTTTTATCAATTACATTTGATTTTTTAATAATTTTTAATAATTATTACTCATTATCTCAATATCTATATAATCGCTTTCATCATATGGATGTAAATATACTAGTAATTATGAATGTTGCGATTTTATAATGTAATGACTAATATTGTAAATGTTTAATTATTCTTTACGATTTTACATTTATAATATTAAAGCAAGATTCTTGTCTTATTGTTATCTTATCGAGACTCGGACCAGCGATCTTGCAAATAGTTAGGCATGTTGTGAGCTGTGCAATCTTCGTCTTTTTATATGTATATAATTATAAGCGTGACGTGTAATGTTAACTACTTTTAAATTATTTTTGAGAAAATAACTCGGGAAAAAATATGTTATGTATGATCATATAAATTTATATAAAATTATATATATAATATGTCCATTGATATACACTTACATAAAATTATTTATAATTTTGTATAATTATATATAAAACTTTTTCCCGGGAAAATATAAAATATTTGATAAAGAATAAAATGTTAAATAAAAACACTATTTATTATTTAAATGTTGCTGTAATTAATGATTACCCGCATTTTCCTACTTGTTTTAAAGTACAAATATTTTTCGTTAGTATTTAATCTGTCGATAAATTGCCAATTTAAATGATTATATCTTATTCATATCTCTGAGATGGAAAACTATTAGATAACAAGTACTTCATATTCAAAATAATCCTAATGTCCAATTTTTTCACCTCTAGATAACTTTATCCAAAAGATATTTCTTAGAATACGATGGAGATATCTTTTGGATAAGATTATCCTCAATCTACCTAGAAGTGAAGAAATTGGGCATGAGAGAGATATGTTCAAGTATAAAAAAAAGTAACAATAATTTATATCTCTCATTTGCATACAAAATATATCTATATCGTATATTGTATTAGGAAAATAATTTTATATTGTTTATAATCATCATGATTGTCTTAATTCAGTTCGAAAATTGTTAAAATTAATGCGAGAGTATTTTTAGAAATTTTTTAAAAATATATTAGATTTCTTTATACTCCGCCAAGTATTTCATAATATTTTTTATTTATATTGAAGTCAATCGAGAATATAAAGGGAATTAAATAATATCTAAAGAATATTGTAACAGTATTCAACACTTTTATACTTTACTTTTTAATATTAATTATGTGTTAATAAAGTATCACATATCGTTTTATAAATTTTTTCACGAGGTCTCTGTTTTAACAATCGTTTCCGTAGTGGTACTCGAGTCAGATTGTTCAATGTCTGTTGTCTTTAAATGGTCCCATCTAAAATGGCAAAAGAATTTTAAACATCGAATATTTATCGTAGAAAGAAACTACCATTTTTTTTGTTCGATAAATTAAATTAATAAAATAATATCTATGCAAGATAAAATACATACTCGATTCCGGTTTGACATGAGCCTGGCGTGAGTCCTTCTTTCTTTTGCGCGACATATAATTCGTTACCCGTTATAGTATCTTCCCGAGGCGATTCGGACGATAATGAGTCCCGCACCTTTTGTAAAAACGTAATAAAAAGAAAAAAAAATATAAAATACTATTTATCTGCGGTTGTTTTTATAATTTTTGCACCCACCCCTTCTGCAGCTTGCAAAACCCGAATAAAATTCCTGCCAGCCAATTTTTCCAAATCCTCTTTGGTCCATGTTGGCTCTCCCTCTTGATTCTCATATAAACGGTCGAATAGATCGGGATACTTGGAGACGTCTTCCAATCCCACTGGCACTCTGGTTAATTTCATCAAGTATATTTTGTTAGCATTTATTTATGTCTCGTCATGTAACAATTACGTTGTTACAAAGTCAATGTAATTACTTACAAG